TCACAGTTTTGCTTTTCATAAAATTCATTGATCATGAAATATTCCTTTTCATTCATAAGAGACAGAGACAGAGAGAGCAAGAAAGCGTGTGTCTAGTTGCCATGGTTACCATAATTCATTGCGAAGGACCTGCTCTCATTAAAACAGAAGGACATCACTATGGTACTTTCCATGGACCATCCTTCACTGACTTCAAGGCTCTTTTGAACAAAGTTCAAGAAATCTGCTCTGGTCTCTCTGTTTTCTTATTGTCTTCTCAATGAAGTATTTTATCAATCTGACAGGGCTTGGGTGTGTTTGTTCTGGGTAGACATGCAGAAATGTTGCTTAAGATAGTGAGGCTTTGTAGCCACCATGATCATGGTCCAAAGTTTCCTTCTCTCCATATTTTCCCATTGCTATAAGTCCTCGAGAGGTCTCAGATCCTGTACATCATTGCTGCTTCTTTTCCTCGCACATGCTCATCTGAAAACTACATAAATCTAGCTTTAATTATTATCTTTCCATTAGTTCATTAATGCTAATATATGATGTTTGCTCTATAAACGTGTGCTTTCCTAACTGCTTTTTTGAATTATGTATTGTAACACTATGAGTGGTTAGAGTCCAGATTTTTAATGATGATAACACAATTGATAAAAAAAATAGCTGCCATTATACAAGTGCTGATCATATATCGAGATTCTGCTCTTAAAAAAAAAAACTTTAACCTAATTTGAGACTAGTTGGCATTGCTTTTTTAATACTCACAATTGCTCTATAAAGTACTATTGTCTCCATTTTACAGATGAGGAGTTGAGACTCAGAGAAAGTACATAAGGTCTCCAAGAGCATACAAAATGGGAAGCAGTAGAACTAAGATTTCAGCTCAGGTTTCTTTGACTACTAGACCTATTTCCTTAACTGTGAGGCTTTGCTGACTTCTGCACTCCTTTTCCTTCATCCTTGCTGCCCAAACTGGGATCCAGAGACCAGCAGTATTGGCACTACCTGAGATCTTGTTATAAATGGGGAACTTTGGGCATCACTGCAGATGTTTTGAATCAGAAATACATTGGAACAAGATCCCCACATGATTCATGTGCACAGTAAAGTTTGAGAAGCACTGTTCTGTAACATTGTCAGCAATAGACAGGAGAGAGAAGAGACCAAGATTGTCTAGAACATTTTAGATCTACAGATGCTCAAACATGTTTGTTTGGAAATTATTATTGGGCTAGAAGAAGGTAAGTTTTGCTGTTAAATTTGATATTGGGGATCTTTTTCCCAACTTGGAGGAAAAATTAAGTTAATGAATTGTTTTCTTCCCCTCCAAAATTTTTCCTTTCTTCTTCAGAGCCTAATTTACCTGTTAGTAACTTTAGAAGATGACAACAAATGAACAAATAGTAAAGAAATACCTTTGAAGTTGGGTGCCGGTAGCTCATGACTGTAATCCTGGCTACTCAAGAGCAGAGATCAGGAGGATCGTGGTTTGAAGCCAGCCTAGGCAAATAGTTTATGAGACCCTGTATCAAAAAAACCTTTTACAAAAAAGGGCTGATGGAGTGGCTCTAGGTGTAGGCCCTGAGTTTAAAACCCCAGTACTACCTTCAAAAAACTCAAGAGGGGCTGGCAGAGTGGCCCGAGTGGTCAGAATGCCTGCTTAGCAAGAGTGAGGCCCTGAGTTCAAACTCCAGTGCTGCCAAAAAAAATAAACAACAACAACAAAAAAAAAACCCTCAGGAATACAAAATTTCTTGTATTTTTCTTCAATTTCTGAATTTTTAAATTCTTGGATTTGTGACTGATTTCATGTTGCTTTATAGAAAATAGTTATACTTTTCTGTTAGTAAATTTGTTTGCAGTTCACCTGGAAGAATTAAATATTAACTTTTCTGGTGTTCTACAAAAGGCACCTGATTTCTACCTACATGAAAGGAGGATCAAGGCTTCAGAATGTCTTTAGGGATAACCTAAACAAGAAGAACTTGTAACAGAAAAGTAGAGTTGAAAGACATTTCCCAGCCAGGCGTGGTAGCTCATACCTATAATACCATCCCTGGGGAGACTAAGGCAGGAGGAACATGAGTTAGAGGCCAGCTGAGAAAAATTAGCAAGACAAAATACAAACTAAAGAGCTGTGGGCTTGGCCTAAGTGGTAGAGCACTTGCCTCTCTTGCTTAGAATGCATGAGTCTATGGGTTCAATCAACAGTACCAGGGATAAAAATAAAGGGGGATAGGTAAGGTGCACTTGCAATGTTCAAAATGATGTATACAGAAGGCTTGCAACTGCGGCATTGTTTGTAATACCAAAAGATGGTAAAACCCTAAAGGTCCATTAACAGAGGACTCATTAAATGAAGCATGCCATCCATATGACAGTATGCTACACAGTTAAAAAGAATGAGACGAGCTGGGCGCCAGTGGCTCATGGCTGTAATCCTAGCTACTCAGGAAGCAGAAGTCAGGAGGATCAGGGTTCAAAGCCAGCCCCAGGCAAATAGTTCGCAAGACCCGATCTTGAAAAAAATCCATCACAACTAATGGAGTGGCTCAAGTGGTAAGAGTGCCTGCCTCACAAGTTTGAGGCCCTGAGTTCAAACCCCAGTGCTGTCAAGAAAAAAAAAAAAAAAAAAGGAGACAGATTTTTATGTTTGGGTGTGGAAGTCTCCAAGGTCATAACAGCATATGTAATTTGCGTTTATAGTACATATATAAACTGTGACTACAATAGTGTTTGCTTCCTGGAGGACACTAGGTGACTGGGAAAAATGGGCAGAAAACCAAGGAAGACTTTTTTTTCCCTCCTATACTCTGTATCAATTTCATACCACATTCTTGTATCATTTATTTTAAAATTTAATTAAGTACTAATCAATGGTTTTTAAAAAGTGGAACTCCATTACCTTTACCTGAAATAATGCCCTGATTACTTTCACTTATCCAAATTTTGTCACTTCAAGATAGATTCCCTCTCTTCACAACTCCGGCCTGAGTGCTCTCTCCTCTGACCTCCTTTGCAGGAAATTATCTTGTGTGGCGAATCATCATGCATTGCTTTGTTACAGCTCTTCTATTTTTAAAAATAGCATCAGCCTTCTTGTATTAAAATTCCCATTTGTGTTTTCATTGCTGTTTTACTGAGCCTTTTTTTTTTTTTTGCAGGGGGGGTTGCATGGGGAATACAACTTCTCAAACAGGAGGAATGGCCTGTGAATATGTAACCAAGTAAAGGAGGGAATAAATGGGAAGGAACACGAGGTCCCTTCCTTATAGCCAGCCTTGACACATTTACCAACCAGAGGTTCATCTGAATTGGTGACCCCTTTTTAAAAAAATGCTAAAAGTCTCTGGAAAGACAAAGCCTTCACATTTTTCATTGAATTAATCTGAATATCATATCAATTTAGTTCAAAGTACCTGTACTCGAGATCAGAGATGGGGAGACAGAAGGAAACTCATGAAGTACTCATAGAACTAAAACAGCTTAAATATCATCTAGCCAAAATCCTACACCTCATAGATCATGAAACAAGGTCTTGCCTGAGATTTCAAGACAAAGCATGGTGGGAAGGGGCCAGACCCAAACTCAAATTTCCTCTTAAATTCAGTTGAGGGATTACACCATCCAGCTTTTCAAAGAAGAGGTCTGGCCTGGGTGAAAGGTGGGGTCTTTCTTCACAAGAAAGACATAGGTGGGCCTGTAATCCCAGCACTTGGGAGGTCTTGGCAGGAGGATCATGAGTCTGAGGGCAGCCTGCACTATAGAGGGAGACACTGTCTTTAAAAAAAAGGAAAAAAAAGACATAGGTAGGCTCTGTGAGCGAGGAAAAAGGTGGCTGGCATCGTTTGGTCCCTTTGATAACTGTGTCCAGGGTCTGTGAAAGTCGTGCACATTGGCAGAAGACGAGTTAAGATAATCAGAAATGGTTTGGAAGGCTGCAAACCTCAACTTCCCCTTACCCAGCCCGGTCTTCCGACTTGAAGAAATCAACTGTCCTTCAGTTTATAGGTCTTACCGATCCTTTCTCATCCTTTCTTTCCATATCTGGAGAAGGAAAGTCGGCAAAGGAGAACGCAATACAAGCATGAGAGATTTCACTATTCCCAGGGCATTTTCCGCCAATTCCCCCTATCTGCTGTGTCTGAAAAGTAAGAGAGCTATTTAGGGTAACCATGGAGAGACTACTGGTCTCGGTCTTATTTCCTTCCTTTTCTTTGCTCTTAAAATCTTTCTCTCTGATTTCAGTAAGACACCCCACTTCTGCTAGTGTCGGGGTTCCGCAGCTCCTCCCTTTCTCAGGGACTCATATACTGAGTAGGAACTCTTATTTTTTTGGGGGGAGTGCATTGGGTTTGAACTCAGGGCCTCACGCTTGGTAGGCAGGCGCTCTTACCTCTGGAGCCACTCCACCAACCCTTTTTTGTGATTTTTTTTTTTTTTTTTTGACATAGGGTCTCCCGAACCATTTGCCTGGGGCTGGCTTCGAACCTCGAGCCCCTTGATCTCTGCTTCCTGCATAGCTAGTAGCTACGATTACAGACGTGAGCCACCGGAGCCCGGCCTCCACTTTTTTTTTTTTTTTTTTTGCGGTACTGCGGCTTGAACTCAGGACCTTCACCTTGAGCCACTCAGACAGTCCTTTTATGTGATGAGTATTTTGGAGATAGGGTCTCTTGAACTATTTGCCCGGGCTGGCTTCGAACAGCGATCTTCCTGCTCTCTGCCTCCTGAGTAGCTAGGATTACAGGCGTGAGTCACCCGCGCCTCGCCGGGAACACATTTTTAAACTAGTATAGCGGTCCGGAGGTATTCACTAAAAGAGGATCAATTCCACTCCCGGGTTTCCGCAATACAGTTTTGGAGTTCCGGCGCTCGGCCCCTACCCGGACTACAAATTCCAAGAGACCCCGCAGCGTCAGTGTACTCGTGGTGCCTTCCCCCAGCTCCCGGAACGCGGAGAGAAAGGTTCCGGGACCGGCGCACAGCGTCGGGGTTTGTTTGCAGCTGGAGTGGCCGGGGCTGGAAACCCGGCGGACTGGTGGCGAGAGCGTCAGGAGCGGATTCCGCCTCCCTTAAGCACTGGGGGGCGGGGAAGGGAGGGGGGCCGGGCCAGCAGCAGGGACCAAGCCGCGAAGACAGCAGGCTGAGGCGATGGAAGGCGACGGGCTGCCGTGGGTCAGCGAGCCCGTCTCGGGTCCCGGTCCTGGAGGCGGCGGAATGATCCGCGAGTTGTGCCGGGGCTTCGGTCGGTACCGCCGCTACCTGGGACGGCTGAGGCAAAATCTACGCGAAACCCAGAAGTTCTTCCGCGACATCAAGTGCTCCCACCACCACAGTTGTCCCTCCTCCCCCACGGGCGGCGGTGGTGGCGGGGCCGAGCCCGAGCCCGGTCCTGGCGGCGATGTCGCCGAAACCGGGCTGCAGGCGGGTAAGGAGGACAGGCCCGAGGAGAGAAAAAAAATTGGAGGGTGGACCGCACGCCTGCCCCTGCAAAACAACCCCGGGAAGAGGCGGAAAGTGGGAGTCGGGCCGCGTGGCCGTCCCCGGCCTGGACCTGGTTGGAGATGGGCGGGAGGAGGGGACACCGAGGGCTCGACCTGCGACCGGGGGGCGAGGCGGCCCGACTGCTGCAGAAACCAGGACCCCGGGGACCCGGCCGTGTGCAGCTGGGACTGGGGAGGCCGGGTTTCGTGAGGACCGGGTTAAGCCGAGGAATGGGGGGAAGTTGCTCTGAGTTGGGGGGGTGGCAGTTGTAGGTGAGAGCCCCTGTTCGGGATGGAGGAGAGGCAATGGATAGGGGTCCCAGGAGCCCGAGGCAGCCTTGGGATTGCAGTGGGATGTATGTATGGGTGTGTTTGTTGAAGTGTGTAAAAGGCATGTATGCCAATCATGAGGCAGTAGCTGGGTGAAGAAGGAATGTCCTCCAAATAGGAAGCGTATCTGATGGGTGCCAGGGACTTAATTGCCCAGAGATGTTGCTAATGCTTACAGTGAAGTTAGAGAAGGAAGCGATCTGGCCTGAACCTTTGGAGATCTAGCTGTTGTTGCCTTTCTTGACATCTTTCTGGCATGTGTTAGAGGCCCCAAAGCACGTTAAAAATTAAAATCTTTACTAACTTCTCGTCGTCCCCCCAGCCTCCCCGCTCCTTTTTTTCCCCTTGGTGGTACTGGGGTTTGGACTCTTACTAGACAGGCGCTCTACCACTTGAGCCACACCCCCCGCCCTTTTTTGCGTTGGTTATTTTTGGGATAATGTCTTGAATTTTTGCCCGATGGGCCTCAATGTGATCCTTTACCTATGGCTACACGCCTATCCATGTGCCACCGCACCCAGCCTTAGCCTTCCCGTTTCCTTTTCAACTGCTGTTGGTGAGGAACTGGAGGGTTTGTTAACTACTGTGTCTTATTAAGAAATAGGATGGGACGAGGGGATTGGCATCCTGTACAATTAGAAATTTTGGGGACAACATGGCAAATAATGTCATAGGTTTTATTTAGTGATTCTCAAGCTGAAATACATACTAAAATCGTCCTAGGAATGTATTAAAAATGCCATGTTCCAGACTCTTATTTTACAGAGTCTGGTTGGCAACTAAGAATCTAACCGGGGTCTTAAGAATCTAATTGAATATGAAAAGGCCCTGGGATTCTGATACAGGTGGTTTAACACACTTCGAGAAACTTGAATTTAGATGCTGATAAAGTTTGAACTTAAGGTGAGTTTGTGTGTTGGAGTCTATCTTCTCAAAGATGCACGTTTAACAGCTTAAATTTGACCCCAGAAGTGGTGGCAAAAGTGAGCTCATAAGATTCTGGTAGGATCCTACATGGTACTATTTCACTTAGTTGCCCTAGATAACAATTAAAAAGCTCTTATTTTCCTCAGGGGATAAATGGGATTAGGGTGATGAGTGGCTTTTCTCAAGTTGTGGTTTTGACATTTTATGTGTAGAGATTTGCTACTTTGGAGATGAACTTGTCAAGGGATGTGACTTCTGTGGGGCTTTCAGAGTATAAGGGCTACCATTCTCTGAGGACTCCAGGATGTGCCCTTTCACTTTTTTTTTTGGGCAGCATTAGGATTTGAATTCAGGGCCTCACACTCTCATTCTTGCTAGGCAGGTGCTCTTATGGCTTGAGCCCCTGCACCTCCTCCTGATCTTTGCCTCGAGTAGCTAGGATTACAGGCATGAACTATTTTGCCTGGGCTGGCTTCCAACTGCAATCCTACTGATCGCTGCCTCCTGTGTAGCTACTATTACAGGCGTGAACCAACAGCACCGGACACTCCCTTTCATTCTTTAACTATGTTCACTCCTTAGTCCTGCTTTTTAGCAGCTTCCCTGCTCTTCGGTTTATCATAGCTTATCTTAGAAAGCCTGCTATTGCTGCTCTGATTTAAAACCAGCTATTTTTGTTACTCTTAAAAAAAATCAGAATAAATTTAGATGGAAATTTTCATGGCATCTTGGCTGACTTTTGTTTTTATTCTCTAAAAGTCAACTTAAAAATACAAATGCACCTTTGTAATTTGCTTCATTGGCTTTTCTAACTGACTGCGTCATGAATGAAGTTTTTGCGTATTTAACTCTCTTTCATTCTCTGGAGTCTGTCCATCCCAAATAAAAACCCAGGAGGGTGCACATGACAGGATTGGGAACAATTTGATTTTGTTCCACAGAGTTCTTCCCTCCTGTCAGTGTGGAGGATTTTATATTTGGGAGTAAGGATGCACCAGCGAAAATTGGGTGACACTTTCTATGTATATTTTAGGGATGCCACTTTGCTAGCAGCTTAGGTAATCATGTTAGAAAGTAGAAACCACTCCTTAAAAGACAACTAGCTCTTGTTCTCTCCTTTTACAGGCTAACTTTGTAAAGTCAAAGTCATTCAGAGATTGTTTCAACTTTGTTTTGTGGATGTGGGTTTCTGATTAATAGGAACTTGCGATGTGAAAGAGGGGAGCATTCAATTCTTAACCTAACAAGTCCCCGAAAGGTTATAATCATTCCAGGATGTAAGTGTGCGTCTAGGCTTAATGCAGCGTGATGGTTGAGCAATTGAAGATCAGGGACTAACTATAAATTTGAAATTGTTGGGATGCAAGGATGGCAACAATAGTAAAACAGTTTTAGAGCTCTTTATATACTATTTATAGTGCCATATAAAAGAAAATTTTCATTTTACTTTCAACCACAAAGAACTGGGAAGAACCCCAAAATAATACTTCCCTCTTAATTTTGATAGTTTTATGTTGACTCAAATATATAATGTCCCTGATACTTGGAAGTTAAACAGCACGTGGAATATACTCTAAAATGATGTATTTTTAGAGTAGCTTGGCTTGTACAAAAAACTGTGTTGTAAGTTAAGTTTCCTTAATTCACTTCTTCTGCTGCTGCCCAAATTACTGGCCTTCTTTTCACATAACTGTAGGGGATGAGACTCCTCTGTCTTTTGATTTTTTTTTTTCCTCTGTCAGAGGGTTCAGAAGCAGTAAGATAAAGGCTTTGAGCACTTCTGTTTGTGTTTTGTTTGTTTGTTTGAGATAGGATCTCAGAACCCAGACTGGCCTGGAACTAAGTATATAGCCCAGGCTGGCTTCAAACACTAGATCTTCCTGCTTCTGTCTCTCAAGTATGTTTTGAGCATTTCTGAACAAGGACAGGATAGAGTACTAAAAAGTAGAAGTGGAAAAAAGTATTTTTCTTATTTTATGATCCTAAGAGAGGTCCTATTACAGGTTGTCATAAACCTCTCAATTTTAGGATGTTGGAGTGACTTAAATGTGTCTGGTTGGAATGCTGTCATTTGTGTTGCCTTCCTTCATTCCTTTAGTTAGTAGTCCTAGCTAATAACTGACTGACCTTTAGCAAATCACAGTTACTCTGTGTCATATTTCCTTGACTGGAGATAGGGATTACCTGTAAAATTGTTGGGAGTTTATATTGTCTACATGTTTAGAATAGTGCCTGGAATGCTATGTAAGGTGCTATGTAAATATTAGCTATTCATTTGTTTGTTTGTTTTTAAGACAGGGTCTCACTGTATTGCCAGGGTAATCTCAACCTCCTGGACTCAAGCAATCCTCCTGCATCCACCTCCCAAGTTCTGGCATTATAGGCCATGCAAGCATGCTAGCCCCACATTAGCTATTACTTAAATAGACACCTGAGTGCTTGGGATGCGCTGGTCAGTGTACTACTTATGGGGGAAAGAGTGTCAAGTAAAAACATTGGCCTTGTCCTAAATGGAAATCAGTCTTCCTTCTATGCTTTTCTTTTTATTTCTTTCTTCCCTTCCTTTCCCTTCCCTTCCCTGTTCTATCCTCCCCTCCCCTCCCCTGGAGATAGGATCTCCAGATATAGCCCAGGCTGGCCTTACTTTGGGATCCTCCTGCCTCAACCTCTGGAGTGTGGGATTTCAGAACTGCACCACCATGCCTGGCCTACAATTTTCTTATAAGAAAGAAAAAATAATTATGATTATCATCATTATAGTACATCTATTTGTTTATGTTGGATGATAGATAAAAAGGAATAGAAGGACCTTGAGCCTCTATAAAAGTATAATCTAATCTAAAATTTATACATATCTAACATATAAAATGGTGGGGAGAGTACAGAAATCTAAGGTGTGTCTAGTTTATTGGCATTTTATGTGAATTTTAATTCTTAGGTTTTTATAGCTCTTTGCCTTTTGTTAGTTGACAGCTGTTTCTCCGAGATTCTTGACTTACTTTGTCACACCTAGTATAAATTGGTTGCCAGAACTTTTAAGGAAGAGGAAAAGCATTAGTAAATTTATTCAAAATAGACATTGTCCTAGAAAATTTAAGTGGCAGAGCAACATTTTTTGGGGGGCTGGGGAGACAAAATGTTGGGATAAAGGGCCTGGTTTCCTGTTTGTTTGTTTTTGCAGTACTGGGGATCCAGCCCAGGACCTTGCACATGCTAGGTAAGTGCCCTTCTACTGAGCTGCATCCTGGCCCTTGGACTTTTGAGATAGGGTCTCACTGTGTATTGCAGGCTGGTCTTGAACTCAAAATCCTTCTGCCTCAGTCTCTTGAGTGCTAGGATTACAGAATGCACCACCATACCTGGTTTTGTTTATTTTTTTTTTTTTGAGACAGTGTCTTGCTGTGTAGCCAAGGCTGGCCTTGAACTCTGAATCCTCCTGTCTCAGCTTCCCAAGTGCTTGGATTACAGGTGTTTTCTTACAGCTGTCATCTGGATGGGGCTTGATGGGGTGGGGAGAGGCTGGGGCTATGAGGTGAAACAGTGACAGTGTTAGAATGGTGGGCTTTCTAATGGTTGCCATGATCTGTTTAGAAGAGTTGCCTGTGAATCTCTACTTAAGCTTAGTAGAGATTATGTGTAGTAGTTGTTAGTGTTTTTAAAATTACTTTAACCAAACCCCATTTTTCCA